TGGCTGTTATGGTGATGAGGCCAGCGATGGAGGGACTGGTGAGCAGGGCCACTTGTCAAAAGCAGCCACTCTAAAGAAGCCTGTGAGTAAGCCACTTTCCCAGACCAAGGGTTCCTGGCGATTGCTAGTGATGGTGCTGCCTGGGGTAGCAGGAAGGAGAGGAGGCAATTATACAGCGTGTAGCAAAAATAATTTCATTTCTAATGTCTTTCTCCTGCTGGGCCACTTAGAATCCAAACAATAACAACAAGGCGGGGGTGAGATCGAGAAGGGCGGGCACGTTCTGAAGGAGCCCAGTGACAAGCGGATGGGCCCCAGGACTCGTTCGGCTCCCAGACATCTGCAGGGGAGTGTGGCTGGGGCCACAGCTGCAGTGCTGTGTTGAGCGGCAGCTTCCTAGATTGTAGGACTGCCCAGGCTGTCTGCAAGCCTGTTGATGGGGCCCCTGGGAGCTGAGTCTGCCTGACTCCACTTACCATCCTCTGTCTGGAAGCAGGCTGACGTTACTCAGAGGGCTTCAGGGAAAGCCTCCTTCCCTCCCCTGTCCCTGCAGACAGCAAAGAATTTCCTCATCTCTTCCTGGAAAAAGTGAAAATCCTTGCAAGTGCCATCAGATTATGACAAAATTGCCCAAATTGCACTAAACTGATGCCTGTATTCAATGCATATTCAGCTTCTCCTGCAGGTCCCTGAGAGTCTACTTCTCCTCTGCTCCCACCGCCATACACTGCCCCATACTCCCCCAAATGCCCCAGCAGCTCCCAGCCCTCCGAGCTTGGAACACGGCAACAGCACAGCCTCTCCTGCCCAAGGGAGGAGGGAGTCCCCAGGCCCCAGTGCGTCATCTCTGGCTCCTCCCTGTACACTGGAGCCAGCAGGGGCCTTGGTTCCTCTGCAGAGAAACATTCCCATGTCTCGTAGGGGGAAAATGAGCTGCACCCTCCAGCTGGTATCCTGACTGCCAAGGGTGTGATTTAACCCATTTATCAGATTGAGGTGAAAGGGATAGGAAGAAGAAAATGGGCAATTCAGAGGGCAAGTTTCTCTCTTTTCTCGGGACCAAAACTGAAGCAAACCAAGTGGCTGCATCTTGTAGTTTTATTACTCCTCCATTTCCATGTACTGACACTATAATCAAGCTATTTTCCAAGTGTATGCATTTGGATAATATGATTCTAACACTTAAAAAAAAATAAGAAAGCCATCTTCAATTACACTGGTGATGGGACAGGTGAGAGGCAGCAGGGTATGTTAACAATGGATTCTAACACTATTAGAGTAATTTTAAAAACTGGAGATAATATCAGTCTACCACCCAAAATTGGTAAATAAGCAATTTGCACATCCTTGGTGGCTCCATTTTGTATCCTGGAGAGCTGAGGGTTTATACATAATCCCAAAGCCAAACCTTAGAGTCGTCCCAGGGCCACAAGATGCCTTATTGGAGGCTGGAGGAAGGGGAATGGTGCTGGGTTCAGCCACAAGGCCACCTGCAGAGGAGGGTGCCTGCTGAGAAGCTGAACCACGCTGTGGCCTTTCTGCTGCCTGTGGTTTCCAAGTGTTTCCTAAAGGTAGGATGCTCCTCTGCTAAGCAGGGCTTCTGGTAAGATAGAAAAGCTTTGGTTGCTGAGTCCAATTCCGGTGCCCAGAAGGTAGAAAGTTTACAACACTCCTTTTTTGGAGAATTTTAATAACAGGATAAAGACTACCATATTTCCGACTCCCTGTTTGGAGTCAGGGCCTTCAGGATGACTTCTGAGGAGCCCAAATGATCTAAGGATCTAAAGTCCTGTAAACTACGTTTCAAGGCAAATGTGAATGACTGGGCTGCTGTTCTAAGTTGTTTTCAAGACCTCAAATCTTAGATTATTGTAACCTGCTGATGTATAGTCTGATTCTGGGAGATACTGCAAATACGGCTTCAGAGTCCTGGCATTATAAAATCCCAACTTTGATTCTCCTCTCCCTTCCTAGGTGCTGAAACACCTTCACTGCTGGAGAGTCATAGGCATTAAGCCACAAAGGATGGAGAAGTAGGGGGAGACAAGGCAGAAAATATGAGTCCCTGGAAGGGGTGGGGTTGGCTCAAGAAGCTCTCATCATACCTGCCCCTCCTGGGCTGTGCACGCACACATGCATGCATGCATGCATACACGCACATACACCGTGCTGCCTTCACAGCCACCCTTCTTCCTTAACACCAAAATGCAACTTTCCCTTGCATGGGATATGGAGACAGCTCTCTCCAGCCGGAGTCCGCATATGGTTCCCCTTACACGTGTTCACCCAGAGGATGGTGACCTCAGACCAATCTGGCTTCAACAGGACACTCTCAGGAGTATATGAAGCCATACTTCTGATGAGACCCTAAGCTCCTCTTTGCTTCCCATGGCATAAGAGGAGGAACATAAGGGTTTCTCTTAATTTCAGATTCTCCTACACCATTCTCCAGATTATAATTGCATGTTCCAGACAGAAATAATCCAACTTTGCGGGTGAGGGTAGAAGACATACCGGCCCACAAGCGTCATTACTGGCCTTTTCACCCCTACAAGCCTCCTAGCTTGTGGAACACAAGAACCTAATCAATACAGTCAATATGTCACTGGCAGCAGGGCACGAGTGGCTACCAGCCTTGGGGAACATGACGTGCTACTAGGCTGAACTAATCACTCCTTGGCATTTCAGGAGCAGTTAGGTTAACAGATCACAGCACATGCATAATGAAAGACAACAACTCACCCAGAGGGGAGGGTAGGAGGAACGCACTAGGTTGGCCCCCAGAGAGGGGCAGTTAGTATTTACAGAAGTCAATCTGAAGCCATATTGGTGATTTCTAAAGGGGCCAAAAATCTATTTTAGAGAGAATAAAAGCCCAAAGGGTCCTGGGGGAGAGGCAATTGGATTGCACCCTTAACTGCAGCAAAGGGATTGAATTGGGGATAGTCCTTCCACCAACAGTCCTACACTTGAAGAATTTAACAGATGTGACTTCAGGAGACAAGGAGAGAGATTAAAGACCTTAATTTTGATAAATTTAAAATATATGAAATTTAGGAATATTCTAGATATCAGCAAATGGTTGCTACGGTATGTGATTCTTTTAACTCTTAAAAATGTATTTTTACATTTTCAAAAGATTTTCCTTCCTAGAACACCTGCTACCAAGTTTATGTAAAATAAACTTGCTTTCGATTTTCAAAATAAAATAAAATTCATGCAGACTCTCTGTGGAGTCTCACTTTTTCAGAGATGATTTCCTAATTCAGTGTACATATGAATCACCCAGAAATATTGTTCAAATATAAATTTCTGGCCCCCGCTTGAGATTCTCATTCAGCAGTTTTTCAGGGAAGAAGCAAAAATATGCATTTTTAACCAGTTTCCCAGGGAGTTCATTTAAAAAACAACAACAACAACAACAACAAAATACCCCTTAGAGAATGCTGCCCAGACCTCTGCAAGAAATCAGAATCTCTCCAATGTCCAGGCATCTTTCATTCTCAGGCTGCGAAGGGAAGGCAGAAGGAACTCAGAATGTTCTTTAAGAGACCAAGGCTGAGACTACCTTGGCTCTCATTTTGCTCTAGGTCTGACAACCTCTTCACTGTCTGAGTTCAGAGATGGCATCAAGCTCCCTTGGAAACAAATGTGCTAGGAAGTTTGAACACTAAGCAGAGAAGTCCAAGGTGGGGGTGGGAGCTGGAACCAGGGAAATCAGCTTGCTGATTTTCTTGAAATTGTTCACACTGACCACAGTCTCCCTCTACCCACCCTCATCAAACAGCAGCACAAGGGGAAAGATGAGAAAAATGATTTCTTTCTCAAGTGGTCCTAATGCTGCAGGATGAATCAGGCATAAGCATGAGTATTTTCATCTGAAGGGGGGGGGCAGGTAGCATCGCTGAACACCTAGTTCCTAGTTCCCTAGGGAGGAGCAATGATTAGCCTAAAAGGTTTGTAGCTTGGTCAAAATCAGAAATGGTTGGATCTGCAGAAGTATCTGGAGAGGGATCCACAAAGTGCTTGCACCTCACCAAACCTCCAGGTGCCCCAGAACAAAAAGTAGTGGGGTGCCAGATGGGGCGACAGTGACTTGCTCAGACAGCTTCCCTGTGGCTGAGAGCAAGGGCCTGTCCCTATGGAGCTGCAGTGCTGTGACTTGTGTCCATGGCGAAGCCTGTTATGTAGACGCACACGCACCCTCTTACCTCTGCTCTCCAAGAGGAAGCGCTCACAGACTGCCGGCCGCAGACAGGGATGGGGACGCGCTGTCTGGCGCTTAGAGCTGCCTCTTGTTTCCGCACATCGCTGGGCTCTTGGCCCATTCCAGAGCCGGACAGTCACCCTCCACTACTGCTCCCACCGTCATTCGCACTCCCAGGTCCAAATGGATCTGGAACCCCAGCCTCCCTCCCGGACTGGGTCCCAAACCCAGAGAAGGTGTAGGAGAACGAAAATTCAGGACCACGGACAGCGGCAAACCAGGGAGTGGGAGAACAGAGCCAGAACCCGCCTCTCCCTCATCCTTGGCTTTTGCCCTTACGAACTGAAGTCTCAGGTCGCACAAACACGGAGTTGCCAAAAACAATCCTTCTTCCTGCGGGGTGGTCGGAAACTGGCCGCGCAACTGGGTCCCCAGGCTCGGGTGCCGGAGGAGAGTGCCCTTGTCGGGGCTCGCTCTTGGCGCTCCCCGGGGAGGCTGCCTCGGCGGGCCGGTCCGCTCATGCCCGGCCGAGGATTCTCGCCTGGGCAGCGAGAAGGATACCGAGAAGCAGGGAGAGGGGATGGCAGCGCCGGGCTCCGGACGTCCCCAGGGCAGCGTCCCGACGGAGAGTCGGTGGAGAGCCCGACCCCAGGCGGGCTGTCCTGGGCAGGCAGCGCCGAGTGGCCGGACAAACTTCTGGTACCGACCGCGCCGCCTTCGGAGCTCCCTCCTCCCCTCCGGCGACCCTGCCCGGGCCCGGTGTCGCCTGTCGGCCCATCCAGCGGGTGCTTACCTTCAAGCCATAGGGCGCCCGGGGGCAGAGACGGCGCCGGCTGCCCGAGGCTTCCAGCTCCCGCCGCATCCACGCGCGGCCGCCCCTCCGGCAGCCGTCCGGGGCCGCCGCTCTCCTCGGCGGGTCCCTGGCTCCCGGCCCCACCGCGCCGTTCAGAGCCCCGGCGGGCAGCCGCTCGGCCGGCTCCGGCCCGCGGGGAGCAGTGGACCGGCCGCGGCGGGGCGGGGCGGGGCGGAGCCGGGCGCGGGGCAGGCGGGCGGGAGTGCGGCGCAGCGGCGAGGCGCGGAGGCGGCGCGGTGCGCGCGGGGGGCTGCCGCTCCGGCACTGAAGCTGGACAGCTCCACGGCGCCCGGGCGCGGGGAGCGCGGGAGGGAGGGGGCGGGGCCGCCCCGGCCACGAGGCGCCCCGGGGCCCCGCCCCTGGGACAAGCCCCGCCCCGCCCCGCCCCGCCCAGCGGTTTTGTGCCTACTGGGCCCGCCCGAGCCTTGAGGGGGCAACGAAGGGAGCGAGGGATTCCTTCATCCCTGGCTTTGAGGCGGGAACCGAGCCTCCGACTGCCCACCGCTCTGCCAGACACACCCAGAGTTGCACACTGTGCACGCAGAGCTGCCTCGGTCTAGCGTCCTCATCTGCTTGGCAGTCCTCTTTGAGGACTCAGAAGCGAAGGGTTGTGGAGGCGCCACCCATCCATGGAGTCAGGTAAGGAGGAGGAGGTATCCAAGAGGTCCAGGATCCGTTTTCTAACTTAAGGTCTTGGAGACTGTGTGATCAGTTCTGTTGCTTGACTCTTCCAGAGGAAAGTCCTGCTTGGAGTTGACCTGAGATGGAAATGCAAAAAGAGGCCTCTGGGCTTCCAGCTCACCTTTGACTCCAAACTGAGGTGTGTGCAGTGGGGAGTGGGGAGAGGGAGCAAGTGGGGTGATGGGGAGGGTTGTTCTGCTGCCGCCCCTGCCCAAATTCATTCGGGCTGCAGAGAATCCTCTTTCTCCCCTTTCCCTCCTCTCTCCTTTATGTTCTTTCTTCTTCAGCAATTAGTGACAGTCTTCACTTTGCCATTCTCTAGGTCAGCTTCAGGGGTCCCAGAGAGAAATATAACCAGGCCCCTGCTCCCACATCCTGCCCATCCAGAGAGGAGACCTCCGGGGAAATACCTGTAACATACCATGCACCTGTGGCTTAAACGGGTGCTGTGAAGCACAAAAAAGCAAGACCTCACATGAGCTAGGCCTTGAAGGAGAAATACAAGTTCCCATGAGGGAGAAGCTGGCACAGCATTCCAGCCATAAGGAACAGTACGGACAAAGGACTGAATTTACGTAGCAGGGAGTCAGCCCTGCACGGATACTATCAAGCCACTCTGGACCACAAAGATTAAATTTGTCTCAGCATTTCCTCCAATGACACCCACAATTATAGAAAGTTAAGGTTGGAAAGGACTAGCATTCATCTAATTCCTCTTCACTTCAAAAGGGGAAACCGAGGCCCAGAGAGATAGAGTGCCCTTGTAAATCCCACAGAGATCCAGCACCGGACCAGTCCCCTTCTCCTGAAGCACAAAACATCATTTCTCTCAAACACAGCCATCTCTGGAGGGACTTGGGGGAGGGCAGGCTGTGAGGGGAGATGCTTCCTCCCTGCTCCCTACCTTTGACACTGTCATGTGGATCTGGACTGTCCCCTCCTCCTCTAAAGTCTTGACAGGGAGATATTACAACAATCAGCAATCCTAACATTTTGCCACATTTGTGTTGAGAGAAAACATTACAGACATGGTTGAAATCCCAGTGTTTCCCTTGTATACCCTCGGGCCATTCTTTCCTAGGTTTAATCCACTTAAGGGGAGAGTCATTGCCTCCCAACTCGGCATCTCTGCATGGGTTGAGGACAGTCAGACTAGACAGAGCACCTGGGTGGGTGTCCTGCCTTTGTCACCTACCAGTTGTATGACCTTGCCTAAATTGTTTACTTTCTCTGAGCCTCAGTTTCCCCATCTTTAAATTGGGGCTGATAATACCTATCTCTCTGGTCTGCATTGAGGATAATAGACAAGGACATCTTAGACAATGGTAACATGGACAACCTCTGGCTGCTCTGAGACAGGAAGTGTAGCCTTGCTCAGTCTGGATGTGGACGGAGGAGCAGGATGACCTCCACTGGGATGCACCAACCCAAGGACACTGTTGCTCCGTGCTGTGTTTTTTACCTCAATTTTACATGGCTGAGTGGATTTCATGCTGGCTGTGAGTGAGACGGATGGATCTTTTAGTTTTCAATTAGCAAATGCCTCGCTCTTTAAACAAGCGGCACAGCAAACAGATGCACTGAGTGATTGATGACAGGGAACATCTGCGGCCAAGTGGCGGCTGCAACAGAGGCCCCCGGCTCCTGGGCTGTCAGGGCCCTCTGGAGGTCGTTTGGTGCCTCCCCTGCCTCCAGGCAGAACTGTACCCAGTCCACGTAGTCCAGGTGGGGGCAGGGTGTCCCTTTTCCTTACAGCTTTCCTGGAAAAGAATCCACAACAGCCTCCTTGAATTTCTCATCAATATGTGCAGAGCCGTGGAATCAGGAAGTTCTGTCTGATGCGCTTCCTAAATCTTTAGTTTATTTCTACCCTTTTCATTGTTGAAAATAGTAAGCAAATGGATAATAATGGGAATCAGGGGTTGTCTTAGTCTGTTTGGGCTACCATAACAAAATACCATAAACTGGGTAACTTACAAACAACAGACATTTATTTCTCACAGTTCTGGAGCTGGGAAGTCCAAGATCAGGGCGCTGGCAGATTTGGTGTCTGATGAGGTCCAGCTTCTGGTTTGTAGATGGTGCTTTCTTGCTGTGTCCTCACATGGTTTAAGGGACAAATGAGCTCCCTCGGGCCTCTTTTATATAAGCACCAATCCCATTCATGAGGGCTCCATACTCATGATCTGATCACCTCCCAAAAGCCTCACTTTCTAATGCCATAACCTTGGGGCTTAGGATTTCAACAGTGGAATTTTGTGGGCGGACACAGATGTTCAGACCATAGCGGGGATGGGAGATGGTTTGGGGGGCAGGCGGGGGTTTCGTTGGCCCACTGCAATAAGGAAACAGAGAATAGGGAGAACTAGAACTTCCTCCCATGCTCCAAGAACTACCCTCCGAGGTGGAGAACGAGGGCTGGCTGGGGCCTGGAAAGGAGGGCCCTTCACTGGTCTCCATCAAATGCTGATGCACCCCAGAGAGACACAGACTGTCACAGCCCGCTTCTGAAAATCACCCTACAAAAAACAAGGGAAATGCCTTCATCTGAAGAGTTAGATCACAGAGCCAGGTAAGGTCAGCTGCAACATTGGAGTCACACAGGACTTTGTTCGCCTCGAAACTCCACGACCTTGGGAAGTTCTGAACATCTCTGAGGCTGTTTCCTCCATTGTGAAATGGTAATAGAGAGCTATATCACAACGCTATTGTGACAATGACGCAGGAATGACAGCTGACACATATTGGTGCTCAGTGGGTTTTCCCCTCTTACAGAAAGCCTCCACTGCAGAGTGCTGAACGAAAGGCAGACACCCTCGGTGTGGTGTTCTGACTCTTGATTTCTTAACCTATTTTGCAGATGAAATCTGGGCCCCTATTTTCACACTCTGGGAATTTTTCTTTGCTCATTCTCCTCTGTCTTTTGTCATTTTGTTCATGTCCCATTTGCAAATGACTCTGGGAGCACGAGGGGGGCAATCCATCTGGGTCAGAGGAGGTGTGGGGCAAAAAGAAAATGAATTCATCCTTTTTATACTTTATTATGTCTCTCAATGTGCAGAAAGCCTGAGACAAGTGCAGAATTCTTGGTTTCTGTCGTTGCTGAGAGAGCCACAGCTTCATGCTGGAATAATCTATTGAAGGAACGGAAGGTAGGTTAAGCTGGCAGTCCCCAGGGAAGGGTGCAAAGAAGAGAATCCTTTTCAAAGGACAGAAGTTTAGGGTACTGTTTGACCAAGACAGGAGAGCAGAGAGTTACCTGAGAGTTTTGACATCTGCATGTGTAATTCGCCCTTGCAGAATGATTTCCTCACTGGTAGACTCCAATGGGCTTCTCCACCTCGGTGTGAAAGGGACATTTGTCTGTTGCTGCCTCCTATTTCAAAACAATAAAGAATATAGGTGTGACCCATTTTAAGAAATTCTGTTATACAATTCTTTAGAGTTATAAAACAGATAAATTAGAGTGCAATTATTCATATTACTAATGTAATTGTTTGATGGGAAGAGGTCATAAAATATACACTGTATTTGCACGCCCATTCATAGCTGCATTATTCCTAATAGCCAAAAGGTAGGAACAACCCAAATGTCCATCAGCATGGACCAAATGTGGTATATACATACAGTGGAATATTATTTGACCTCAAAAAGGAGGGAAATTCTCACGCATGCTACCACATGGAACCTTGAAGACATAATGCCAAGTAAAATATGCTAATCACAGAAGGACAAATACTGTATAATTCTACTTATATGAGGTACCTAGAGAAGTCAAATCCTAGAGGCAGAGAGTGGAGTGGTGGTTGCCAAAGGCTGGGGACAGGGGTGAATGGGACTTATTTAGCAGATATGGGGTTTCAGTTTGGGAAGATGGAAAAAGTTCTAGAGATCAAAGGTGGGGATAGTTGTGCAACAATGTGAATGTACTTAATGCTGCTAAGCCACACACTTAAAAATGCTTAAATTAGTAAATTATATGGTGTGTATCTTTTACCACAATAAAAAATGTATACTTTGTGTTTCAGTGGACACTGCAGCCGTCAATATATATGAAAACAAAATAAAAAATCTTGGAAATTACCAGGTAAATAGATGGGAAAGTGACTGAATTTAGAAGATATTCAATTCACATATAACATCTGAAGTTGTATTTAGGGAAGTACAATCACTACTGCCTTGGAGTTCTTCAGCCCCTTCTATAGATAATAAAGCACTTTCTCATCTTTGATCTCATTTGCCCTCCGATAGCCTTGTGACGTCGAGAATGTCGTTCCCCGGGGAGAGCACTGGGAAGGTTATGCAAGGTCTTCCCCTTCCAGAGGCTGGGAGCCAGCAGTGAAACTAGGGAGACAGATTTCAGGTAGTGTGTAAATGCAAGGACCATTCAACCACTCAGGTGCTGAATGGAGTTGTGCAGTTCAAAGAAAGCTCTCAATTGTGAAGAAAAGCTCAATCTCAGC